TTCAAGTGTATGAAGAGTTCTAAGACTGGACTGGGTGTGCCATGTTCTTGTCCAGCCCATGGTGGGTATTCAGGAGCTGGGTTATAAGAACAAGAATGAACAAAAGGCTGGGGTATGGGGAGGGGGCAGGGCTGGAATCTGACCGTCCTGTTTCCTACAGAGCAAAGATGGCGAGATCAAGAAAGCTGGCTCAGATGGTAAGTGGTACCCTGGGGTGCAGCAGTACATTTGCCAGGAGGTGTCCTTACAGACAGCCCCCAGGGCACTTGCTCTCCTGGGGGAGGAAGTGGAGAGGCCAGGTTTTTCTTCCCCTCATCTCCAAGGTCTGGTGCCCGAGTCCCCAACTCCACCTTGCAGGTGACATTATGGACAGTTCCACGGAGGCCCCTCCCATCTCAATGAAGTCCCGCACCCACTCTGTGTCTGCTGGTGAGTGAGGGCCACTGTGTGTGTTAGTAGGGGAAACAGAGATGGACAGGAGCAGGGTCATATGGTGGTTCAGTCCTATCTCTAAGGCCTGACCAGGTCTTGGCTGACACCCTTCTCCCCACAGACCCCTCCTGCAGACCTGGCCCAGGAAGCCAAGGGCCCGAGTCTGCCACCTGGAAGACACTGGGGCAGCAGTTGAATGCAGAGCTCAGGAGCCGTGGTTGGGGCCAACAGGATGGTCCAGGCCCTCCCTCCCCTGGTCAAAGCCCAAGTCCCTGCAGAGCCAGCCCCTCCCCAGACAGCCTGGGCCTCCCAGAGGACCCCTGCTTGGGTCCCAGGAGTGAAGGTAGGCAGCCACCCGATTCCCCACCCCAATCATGGGCTGGGGGCTGGAGTAGTTCCTGCTGGGAACTCAGCTCCTCTAAGGACCCTGAGGGTGGGAGGCAAGGGCTGGAGTCTGGGCAGCTGTTGGAACACCCCTGATTCCTTGGCCTCCCTCAGATGGCCAGCTGAGGCCAAGGCCTCTCTCGGCAGGGCGGCGGGCAGTGTCTGTGCACGAGGACCAGCTCCAGGCCCCTGCTGGTGAGGGGAGACACTTCCATCTGTGCTTGAATGCAGGAGATGCAGGAGGGTGGGCTTCTGGGGCTCCCTTCATGGCTTTGATCCTTGGAGGGAGGCACCAGTGTGAGGACTCAAGAAATCAGGGAGCCAGAAGGCCAGGTGCAAGGGTTTGACAAGCCTTTCCAACTAGCCCTGATTCCACTTCCCAAAGAGCAGCCTCTGCTGGGGTGAGGATGCAGGGATGGGGGATGCTCTGAAGGCAGCGTGTGTGAGCACATGCTTACGTGTACTGGAGGTGGGAGAGGGGACAGGGGATGGACAGACCTCAAGCCCTTAGCAACCCACCTCAAGCCTTTCTATGTTCCTTAGAACGGCCCCTGCGGCTGCAGCGCTCCCCGGTCCTCAAACGCAGGCCGAAACTCGAGGCACCTCCATCCCCAAGCCTAGGTAAGAGTGAGTCCAGGCCAGCTGGGAGGGTGGCCGGACTGCTTAGCCCAGCCCTGACCCTTCCTCTCTCCACCTCCCTCCCCTCACAGGATCTGGGCTTGGAACCGAGCCTCTGCACCCACAGCCCACAGAGCCCTCCAGCCCTGAGTGGAGCCCACCCTCCCCAGCCACAGACCAAAGAGGCGGCGGTCCCAATCCCTGATCCTCTCCTCTCCTGCCGCATGAGATTATTTTATTAAAAAACTCGAAGCAGAGTGTGGAGCAGTTATTTGTCCTGTGTGTACACATTCTCCAGTATCCTGTGTGACCTCTCACATCGGAGTTGCCTCAGACTCTGGCTGTGGCTCCATCAGAAAGTGCAAGGCCCAGGCCACGAGCTGGGGAGGAAGCCTGGGAAGGAATCACGGCTGCAGGTCAATGGAGCCTGGGACTAGTGACCAAGAGTAGGGGCAGACCCACGCACTCACTCACCTGGCAGCTTGGACCTGAGCACAGAGGGATGTGCAGGGTGACTCGTACTGATACTGGAAGGCAGAACCATCACGATGCCTCTTTGGGGGTTCCTGAAAGGGGTATGGTGTCTGGGGAACAAGGACCCCAACCCCATCCAAGGCTACCCCTGCTCCCTCCCACTTCTACCTCAGGCCTTCCTCATTCTACCCTCCAACTGCAAAGGGACTATGCTCACCCAGACAGGGCAGGACTCCTGGGCTCCCTTGGTAGTTCCGGTCCCGGGAAAAAGCTGCCGATTCTTGCAGAGCAACCCTAGCTCCTTTAACTCTAGGCTAGGTTTCTGGGACCTGGTCCCAAGAGCCTGGTGTGGACTGGGGACACGGCCATGGGGTGAGAGACTGGGGGAGCAGCTCTGGAGTGGGGAGCTGGGGGTCACGGGGACAGGGGCTGAACAGATAGCTGGTGGGGGCTGGGAGCTGCTCCTCTGCCCTAGGTCTGGAGCAGCCAAGGACAGGGCAGGCAGAAGGCTGATGCTCACACCACTTTCCTGGGATGACACGTGGCCAGGTAAGGCTGGGGTTCCTGAGGAGGAGGGGACTCATTGTAGGCACAGCCCACTCTGCTCAGAGCAGCTGAGTGGCCTGCAAGCTCAGACAGGACTGCAGGAACTGTGTTCATCCCCCACCCCCATGCACCTTTTCACAGCATCCTGCACAGCCTGGGAATCTGGCTGATAGATAGCAGTGAGTGCCTGTGACTTGTGTATCACCTCACCTGAGGAACTGGGTGAGGAAGGAGGAGAGGAGATGAGGGTCAGGGATAGGTCCTGCAGAGCTGGGTCTGGTGGGGGCAGCTCGGGGCCTGGAGGGTTCAGGAAGGCTTATCAGCACTGCAGACCTGTGCCCCAGGGTATCCCCCAACTTCTCCAGTCCCCCTTACCTTGTATCCTCTGACACGGTCCTAGAGAGCTCAGAATTAGCTGGTCATTCTCAGAGATGCGAAGCAGTGAGCTTGGGACAGTGTACACAGCTTCTCCCTGTGGAACATGAACTCTCAGCATGACCCCTGTCCAACTCCTCACTCTGACATCTCCAAGAAAAGCCCCAGACTGACCGTGGCCCTGCAGCGTGAGGCAGCCCAGTGGGTGAGAGGGGGTGCTGTGCAAGGACCCTCCAGCTTTAGGCAACTCTCAGCTAGGCACACGAGCGCCCCCTGATGCTCCTGGTCCTCCCGCATTTCATCCAGAAGCTGGGACAGTGATAGGCCTGGGAACAGGGGACCAGAGAATGAGTCGAGGCTTAAAGAGGAGAACCCCCCCCAAAAAAATAAAAAATAATTAAAAAAAAAGGACGACCCCAGAAAGAGAAAGAGAGAGTGGGAGGGGGAAAACAGCTTATTGAGAAAGCAACAGGTTAAGGCAGGAGAGATCACTGCACAGGGTGTTAGGATTACTGGTCAAGCCCTACAATACCTGTATTGGAAGAGGTGGACTCCGAAAGGTGCTCCCTACAAGAAGAATGGCCAGGCCTCAGGAAACATGCTGAGGCCTGTCTATCCAGACACACCATCCCCTCACCAGACCACAAGTGGTGCCCGAGGCCCACCCCAGACTCACTCAAGGTAGTCATAGAGCTTTTTCTGAACATCTAAGTCTTGGTTGCTAAAAAAAAGAGAAGAGTAGTTAATGGAAGCCCAAGCCCTCCTAACCCGAAGGCCTCTGCCAGCGCCAGCCAGGCTGGGGTAGGAAGAGCTGCTGGAGGGCGGAGGCATCACTTACCAACCAGGCACCCGTAGCCGGGGCTGCTCTGTGGGCAGCAGGCTGAAGCGGTCCACCTGGAGATAGAACTCTGCGGTCTGGAGAAGTTCGAGGGGAAGGGGAGGTCTCAGGAGTTTTGTCACGAAGAGTCAAGCCCGATAACCCGCCTAAAACAGCCCCACAACTCACCGCGCTACCCTCAGCGACCTGGACACGAACCCCGCAGTCCTGCAGCAGCAGCAGCCGCCCCTCTGTCCCGCGGAAGCCGAACTCCTTCTCTTCCCTGGGGCGAGCATGACCCTCACTGCCGGGCCCGCCCACCTCGCGCTCTCCCGCCGCAACACAAGGCCCGCCCACCTCGCGCTCTCCCGCGGGCTTCCGCCACCGAAGACGCGCGGCGCCACTCACCAGTCCGAGGTGTCCAGGGCCTCCCGCGTCACCAGGCATCGGACACTGTGGGTTCCGTCAGACACAAGCAGCGTGGCCCCGACGTCGGACGCATCAGGGGCGTGGGATGGGCCCGCGGCAGCTGCCTCCGCCTCCTTTAGTACCTGACGGCGGCGAGCTGCGTCAGTCCCACCACCCGCGGTCTCCGCCTCGGTCTCCGCCTCGGTCTCCCGGCCTTGAGTGGGGGCTCACCTCGAGCAGCTGCCCGGCCCGTGGACTGGAGAGTGTCTCTGACCCTAGAATCAGCTTTCGAATCCAGGGCCGTAAGACCAGCCTCCCCGAACCTGCCATTCCCACGGCTGCACCTAGCTGAGGCAGCGGGCCCGCGTTTCCCGCGGGCGCTCAGGCCCCGCCTCTCGTCGGAAGAGGAAGCGCTTGCGGCTGGGCGGGGCCTGAGGCGGAGGCCACGCTCACCTACATCCCGCGCCTGCGCACGAGGGCATCCTTCTCCAGCCTGTCAGCAGTCTCCCGCTAGTCCACGGGATGCTCGCCCGTTTGCTCTCATCGCGGCGTCACTCCAAGCAATGGCCCGGCGTTTGGTCCATTGGTCAGAACTCCTATGTTACCGGGAAGGAACAGAACAAAGGCTGGTCCGGTCCCTGGAGAGAGGGATCCAAGGCCGGGGGTTGCGGCCGAGTGCCGTCCGAGCGAGTTGGCTCGAAACCATTTCAGCGTTATGTGACCCCCAAGGGGTTCAGCACATATTTATTATGACTCAGTTTCCTCATCTACACAATGCACGGCCTTGTAAGGCCAGTGGAAATAAGAGCATACAGCGCTCAATAAATGGTACTTCCTTCGCCCTCCCCTCGGACTGGCCAAGCCCTACTCCCCCGACTCCGGGGGCGCGCGGACCTCAGCGTGATGACGCAAGAGCGGAGGAAGTCTCCTTTTCACCCCCGGCTCCGTTTCCTAGGAAACGTGGACTCCGCGTTCCACTCTGCGTCGCTGCCCCCTTGACGTCACGCTCCGGATGGGAGGGCGGGGCGTGTGCTACCGCCAGGGGCGGGGCGGCACGGGCGGGCCGGCCGGGCTGTGCACCTGCGCCTCGGCGGGCCGTCTGGGGCACCGTCCCCGGCCCGCCCGGCCCCGCCATGGCCCGGCCGCAGAGGACTCCGGCGCGCAGTCCCGATAGCATCGTCGAGGTGAAGAGCAAAGTAAGGACCCCTCCGGCCTCGGCTCTAGGCGCTCCCAATTCCCTCTTTCTCCCCTTCCCGGCTCCTAGGTCCCCGCACCTCTTCCCTCTATCCTCCAAGTCCCATTCTGCTTTTCTTCTCGCCTTCTCCCATCCATCTTCCTCCACTGCTGGCCTCCAGATCCTTCTGTGGCCCGAGTACCTGGAGGGTGGTAAGAAGACCTTGGACAGCGTCCCTGGTACTGGAGCTGAGGTCTGGGCTTAAGGCTGCCGCTTTTGCGGCAGCCGTTTCTTTCCCATCCCTGCCGGCCTCGGACCTGTGGTGAGAAAGGGGCGCAGGCTATTCTTACCCCTCCTCTCCCCCAACCCCGACTTCCAGTTTGACGCCGAATTCCGACGCTTCGCGCTGCCCCGCGCTTCGGTGAGCGGCTTCCAGGAGTTCTCACGGTTGCTGCGTGCGGTGCACCAGATCCCGGGCCTGGACGTGCTACTTGGCTATACGGATGCTCACGGCGACTTGCTGCCCCTCACCAACGACGACAGCCTGCACCGGGCCCTGGCCAGCGGGCCACCACCACTGCGCCTACTGGTGCAGAAGCGGGGTGAGGAGGGGTACAGTGGGCAGCCTCTGGGGTAAGGTGTCTGTGGGGCAGGTCCACAAGCGTTAGTCCATGTCCAGGGCACCCAGGCGTCACCCTCTGCAGTCCCTGCCCTTGGCCTGACCTCCAAGTGGTAGGAAATAGCTACAGTGCCCCCTGCAAAGAGCCCAAGTGGGGGAACAGGTCTCTGATCTCAGCAACCCGCCTCTCCTACAGCAGACGCTGACTCCAGCAGCCTGGCTTTTGCCTCCAACTCTCTGCAGCGGCGCAAGAAAGGGCTCCTGCTGCGGCCAGTGGCACCCCTGCGCACTAGACCACCCCTCCTAATCAGCCTGCCCCAAGATTTCCGCCAAGTTTCCTCAGTCATAGATGTGGACCTACTGCCTGAGACCCATCGACGGGTGCGGCTGCACAAGCATGGTTCAGACCGCCCCCTGGGCTTCTACATCCGAGATGGCATGAGTGTGCGTGTGGCTCCCCAGGGCCTGGAGCGGGTTCCAGGCATCTTCATCTCCCGCCTGGTACGTGGGGGCCTGGCTGAGAGTACAGGGCTGCTGGCGGTCAGTGATGAGATCCTCGAGGTCAATGGCATTGAAGTAGCCGGGAAGACCTTGGACCAAGTGACGGACATGATGGTCGCCAACAGCCATAACCTCATTGTCACCGTCAAGCCTGCCAACCAGCGCAATAATGTGGTGCGAGGGGCATCTGGGCGTTTGACAGGTCCTCCCTCTGCAGGGCCTGGGCCTGTTGAGCCTGATAGTGATGATGACAGCAGTGACCTGGTCACTGAGAACCGCCAGTCTCCCAGTTCCAATGGGCTATCTCAGGGTCCCCCGTGCTGGAACCTGCACCCTGGCTGCCGATATCCTGGTGCCCGCAGCTCTCTGCCCTCCCTGGGTGACCAGGAGCAGGTCAGTTCTGGCTGGGGGAGTCGCATGCGAGGAGATGGTAGTGGCTTCAGCCTCTGACAGGCGGGATGCAGCCCCGTGCCACTCCACACTGCTGGGCCATGGCAGGGACTTCATAGTGTGGGTTTTTAGCAGGCTCGCAGGGCTCCCTCAGCCTGGGGAACATTAAAGGTTTTCTACAAATACAGTCATGGTCCTTCTGTGTCCCAGCCCCAGCCTCCTCCCTGGTCCCACTAGTTTGTCTTCTGCTCTGGACTAAGGCAGGAGTGACAATTGGGAGAACTTCCTGCAACTGCGCAGCAGGAGGGCCACCAGGATTGGCATTTTTACAGTAAGAAAAGCCCTTAAGGAAACAAATCCTGTGTACAAACAGTTTAATTTTGACAAAATGGTTAAAAGACTGGGATGGCCCTTCTGTAGCCACTGGTGGCTGAGAAAAGTGCTCCAGGGACACTGACCACCCCCCTGCTCCTGTCTTCAGACTTCTGATCTGGGAATGGGCCTGACCCTGTCCTTTTCAGCCATGTGGCTGGTGAATCTCAGCATGTACCTCCCTGCTAATTGTCCCCCAGAGGGGCTCAGGTGTCCATCTTCACAAAGACTTTGGGCCGGGAAAAAATCTTGATGGCCTCCTCTACCTGCACCAGCTTCCGGTCCAGCTCAGCACGGTGGCTCTGAGCTCTCAGTGAGTCTGCCCCAGCAGGCAGCAGTACCAGCTCACGCAGCAGCTGGCTCTGGCCTACAGGGGGCCCGGGAACAGTGAGTGTTGGGCATGTGCCCAGTCCCCAGTGGGTTCCCCCTCCAGCCTCCCCACCCAGGTACTCACTCTGAAGCAGCTTGCTCAGTGTTTCTAGCCGCTGGTTCTCAGGCATACGCGTGTGGCCTGGAGGCATGGCAGGGTCCGGCTGGCTCTGCTCACGGGCCTCGGCCTCCCGCCGCCACAGGTCCCTGCGCTCCAACAAGCTGTGGGTGCACGGGCTCAGGGTTGATGACCCCCGGGCAGAGATTGGTTCCCACCCTCCCCTGGTGCCCCTTGCCCTGTGTGTCAGGCAGTGAGACCTACTAATGGGGCACGTGGCCCTTCTGCGTGGCATTGTAGTGCTCCTGGGCCTGCCGCTGCTGCTCCAGCACCTGTGCCAAGACCTGCAGCGAGCGGGAATGCCTCCGGGGTGCCCTCTTGGCAGCTTGGGCATTGTGACGAATGAAGTCCACCCCCAGGCCTGGCCCCTGCAGGACACAGCAAGTGTGGGTGGTGGCACAGAGCATTATGTGGTATCCCTGAACCCCCCGACACACACTGGGAGCCCTGCCCAACCACCATCCACTCACCTTAGCTTTGGAACCTGGTGGGGTTGGCTGGGGACTGGGAACACGGGGTGGTGGGAGGCCAGGGCCACAGCGGGAGTGCGCCCGCAGGAAGTGGGCAGACTCTGTCCCAAAGGCAGGGCCAGGCTCCTGGAGGGCAGGGCACAGCAGAGAGAGCAAGCAGGCTGAGGTCTGCGGCTGAAACCTCAGGACTCTGGCTCTCTTGGCCCTTCTGACCTCTGCATCCCTCGGGACCTCTTCCCTCCTCAAGGGACACTTGTTCTCATCAGCACATAAACGTGTGGATATCAGATTTTTTTTTTTTTTTTTTTTTGAGACGGAGTTTCGCTCTTGTTACCCAGGCTGGAGTGCAATGGCGCGATCTCGGCTCACCGCAACCTCCGCCTCCTGGGTTCAGGCAATTCTCCTGCCTCAGCCTCCTGAGTAGCTGGGATTACAGGCACGTGCCACCATGCCCAGCTAATTTTTTGTATTTTTAGTAGAGACGGGGTTTCACCATGTTGACCAGGATGGTCTCGATCTCTTGACCTCGTGATCCACCCGCCTCGGCCTCCCAAAGTGCTGGGATTACAGGCTTGAGCCACCGCGCCCGGCCGGATATCAGATTTTTAAGAAAACAATAACCACCTCTCCTCCAGTACTGGGCCAGCCACCACTCTCTCCCCTCCTTCCTAGCGAAGCTTCCTGGCTCTAGTCCCCCAAAGTTCCTGATGGCTGGCCTCCAAGTCCTCAAATCCAGGCGGTCACTTCCTTGGTCTCGTTGTCCTCAACCTGATTGTCAATAACTCCTAGGTCTTACTCCTCAGATCCAGGCCTGAATTTCCATCTGCTTCCTGGACACACTCCCACCCCCTGGGAGCCCCACAGATGCTTCAGCCCTGACACATTCGTGTGACCGTGCCCTTCCTCTCACTCTTACTCCTCCTGCTGAGTCCTTGGATGGAGGGATGATGCTGCTCTCTACTCAAGACAGAGCCCCCCACCATACCTCTGCCCTTCCCACTGTCCTCAGAAATAAGGGCTGAAAGTGGCTAATGTGGCCCTTGATGTGGGTCCAGCTGACTTCTTGGTCTAACCTCACGCTTTTCTTTCCTCACAGTGAACTGTACCTAGCATCTCCATTGCTATGTGTCCTGTGGTCGGTGAGGTTCCATCTTTTGGGAATGTTCTCTTCTGCTGTCCCCTTGCCTAACTGCTCCTTGCCCCTTAGGATCAGCACCCCCCCCCCCATCACCACTTTGAGAAGGCTCCCCTCAGCCCCGCCCTGCAGCAGTCAGGGTCTCTTAGTCCTCTGTTACCTCTGTGAGGTAACCTCCCCAGATCAGAATATAGTTAGTTGCTTGTTGCCCAACAAAATGAGTAATACTTCTGGCTCCCTGAGGCAGGTACCTGCAGCTGTGCCTTGACCCGGGACTCCACCTTGTCATACTTGGGCGAGCGCCACAGAGCTTTTAGGGGCCTAGGCTGGCCCTGCTCCCGGCTGTGCTCCCGTTCTCTGAAGCGCTTCTGAATCTCCCTGATCCGCCTCAGGTTCTCCTTCTCATGGTCTTTAGGGTCCTTCCCTAGAGAACAGATGCTGCCAGGCTCTGCCCTACATGTGGCCCACACAATCCAGTTTCTACCAGTTCACACACAGGCCTGTCCTCTGCCCCTTACAGAAAGAGCCCCCTGACCTCTCGTCTACCTCATCACCGTGTTCCCTTCCTCACCTAGTAAGTATCTCGTGATGATTTTCTCATTATTAATTGAGACAGGGTCTCACTCTGTCACCCAGGCTGGAGTACAGTGGCATGATCACAGCTCACTGCAGCCTCAACCTCCCTGGCTCAAGTGATCCTCCCACTTCAGCCTACTGAATAGCTGGGATTAGAGACATACTCCACCATTCCGGGCTGATTTTTGTATTTTTTGCAGAGATGGGGTTTCACCATGTTGGCCAGGCTGGTCTCCAACTCCTGGGCTCAAGTGATCCCCCCGACTTGGCCTCCTAAAGTGCTGGGATTACAGGCGTGAGCCACTGCTCCCAGCAGATTTTCTCCATTATTACAGTGAAGTATACTATTATCTCATATATGACATTCATCTCTTGTTCTTTGTCTCCCACCTTGACTCGATGGCTCACGCTTGTCTTCAACCCTGTGTTCTAGCACCTATATGGCCTGGCACACAAGTTTGACGGGTAATAAATGCATGAAGCAGAGCTAGGGCTTTGTGGGAACTACCTCATTCAGTTCCCCTTCGAGAAGGCAGCGCATTTCTCCCCCTTTTATGGTTGGGGAAACTGAGACTCAAGAAAGCAAAGCCTGGGCCCAGGTCAGGGGAGAAAGGGCAGCTACTTTGATGTCTTTCCACCCCAAACAGTCTCTCTGCCCCTTCTTCCCTTCCTGGGACTTACTCTTGAGAGAGGCCCCAGGACCTAGGGAGATGCCCTCAAGTTGCAACAGCACGTCCCCGACGCCACGCCGGCCGCGCTCCAGGATCTCTCGGGCGTCGGGACCGATGCAGGGGCCACGGGGAGCGGTGGCGTCCAGAGCCCGGTCCGAGGTCAGCAAGTCCAGCTTCAGCGCGTTTCCCTCTAGGCGCCCTTGAGCTGCGTGTGGGGCGGAGCCGAGCGGAATGCGGAGCTCAGAGGTGGAGTCGAGGCCGACCCCCGAGCCTCTCGCCACCGCCGCGCCCCCGTACTCACCAGAGGCCGGCCGCCGGTAGTAGTCAGGGCAAAGCGTCGGGTCTGGGGGGATGGGCCCCGAGATACGGGACGGGCCCTCGCACATGCCGTCGGCGCCGCCCTGCAAAGGGGCCCCGAGGCCTGTCGGGCTGTGTACTTCCCTCCCTGGGCCCAGTTCCCAGCTCCAGGCCTCCTCCCTAGTCAGGGACCCTGACCCTGACCCGGACCCAGGAGGGCCGCCACTCCCGGGACTCTCCCGGTCCCCGCCCCGACCTCGGCCCCCTTTGTCGCCTCCGCGACCTCTGCTCCCAGCCCATTTCCCGGTCCCGCTCGCGCCCCAACCCCCGCGGCACTCGGGCAGGGGCTCACTCGAGCGTCCTTGCCGCCAGCTGCTGCCACTCGACGGGAGTTGTTGTTGCCGGGCAACCGTGGCTTACGTCCCCGGGGTCAGGGCTCACTGACCCTGGCGCAAAGCCTCTTGGGGCTTGTAGTTTCGGTCGAGGGTGGCCGCCGGTCTCACTTCCGTTTTGTCCTCGCTTGCTGGCCGGTCTCCCGGGTCCGCGCGGGGCCACCATCCAACCCCTCGGGGTCAGCCCCAGGCAGCTGTCCAGGATGCACTGAGCCCGCGCAGCCATGGCCTCGGTAGGGGCGGAGAGGCGGCCGGGATTCCAGGAGGCGACGGTCGTGGGGCAGGCACTGCTCGTGGAGGACCCTGGCCGCGCTCAGACCTCTGAGGTGACCATCAGGCTGTTTAGCATTCAAACACAGGGCCGCAGAGCTCTGAGAGGCGGAACTCTGAGCGCCCCGACCCCCTAACTGCCAGGCTGGGCTCTCCAGGAGAGGAGAGACACAGGCTGTTTCGGTGTCTAATGTTAGGTGTTCAGTGACTGATCCCTATATCTTTTGCCCGGCCATGGTGACCGATGGTCTGTGTGTCACCTCTAGTGTCCAGTGACGGGAGACCAGTTCCTGGTGCCAGCAGACCAGTTCCTGGTGCCAGCCCATGAGGCCCGCAGGACCCAGGGTGAAGACCAGCCCCCAGCAGGAGCTGCTTCAGAGCCGGAGCTCCAGGAGGAAGGACCCCACCTGGAGGAAGAGGGGCCCAAGCCGGAGGCTGGGGCGCTAGAGGAGAGAGGGCCCAGGCCCGTGGTCTCTGTAAGGCCCGGTCATGGTCCAAAGAGGAAGCCTGTCAAGTGAGGGGGCTCTCGGAAGGAAGGATCTGCAGGCTGGGGGATGGGGCTCACACTCCAGTAGGATTCCTTTTTTTTTTTTTTTTTAAAAAAAAGATGGAGTTTCACCATGATGGCCAGGCTGGTCTTGAACTCCTGACCTCAGGTGATCCACCCACCTCGGCCTCCCAAAGTGTTAGGATTACAGGCATGAGCCACCGCGCCCAGCCTCCAGTAGGATTCCTAAATCCTGCACGCATGATTCTTGTGTCCACCACTACTACCCTCACTCCCCTCTCTTTCTGTTCCTGAAGACCTTCCCCCAACTACCCCCATGTAGGGAGTGGCAGGAGAGAGGGGGCTTCAGGGTTTGTAGGGGACTGGGCTCACCTGGCTCTGAGCCTCTCTTGGGCCTGGGGCCTCACTAACCAGGAACGGGGCAGGCATCGAGCCCTGGGGTGGTGGGCAGGCTGGGCTATTCCCTGGGCCAGGGCTGGAGCCTGGCTCCTCAAGTCTCTTGTCCCTGGCTCAGGTCCCTCAGCCTCCCGGGCCACCGTGCCCATTCGAGGGCTGAAGCTGAGCTGCCACCCAGGCTGCTGCTGCAGGAGGAGGAGCCAGAGGGCAGCCAGAGTGAGGTCTCACCATCCGCCAAACAGCACAAAAAAGCCAAGAAGCGCAAGAGCCTGGGGGCTCCTGTGATCCACGCTTCGGCCAGCACAGTCTCTGCACCCTTAGAGATGTTGGGGCTGGAGCGTGAGTGGCAGTCCCTGAGCTGTTCCTTCTCCCCCTGCCTGTGGGGCCTAACCTGACACAACCTGGCGCTCCAGCCTCCGCCCTGCCCCGGGTCTTTGCAGGAAAGGCCCAGCGCCTTCGGCCCCTGTACCAGTACATCAACTATTGCAACCCTGAGCTGAACCAGGTGGGGGAGGGGGACAGGGAGGCCGAGGTGGATGCAGAGGCAGAGCTGGCCCTGGTTCCTGAGGAGGCAGGTGTGGAGCAATTGCAGGCCTTGCTGCCCTTGGCAGGTAAGCTGGGCCCGGGCCTCACTTTGTCCTGTCGCAGTCCGTTAGTGCCCCCCACCCATGCTTTGGCTCCCCTTGGAGAGGAGGCTGGAGAAGAGCCTGGGGGCCTGCCCAGCTTGGGGGTGAGTGACCACCTCAAGGCCGAGGTGGAGAAGTCAACCCAGGTGGACATCGACAAGATGCTGAGTGTCTGCACTTCTCCGCTTGTCCACCCGCTCTCTCCTCAGTACAAGTGACTGTCCCGCCCCACTGGTGGCTCCCCTCCTTCCAAGCCTGAACTTGGCTTCAGGCTTCCTGTGAACCTAGGCCCTCTGGTGGAGGGGGCAAATTTGGTACCTGCCCTCACTTGGGATTTTGGGCTTGCTGAAAATAAACATTTTTCTTTTTCGAAGACTTTGTGATTCCCCAGATAGGTTGCCTGAACTGGGAAAGAGGATGGAGGACTCAACAGTGCAGGTTTTGCATCTGTATCACCCGTGACCTTGACAATGACAGGTTCTTTTGTGCCACTCCACGCCTCCCTGAATCGGGATGGGCCTGGTGCTGTGCATTTAGGTGAATCTGAGGGTCAGGCAGCTAACTGGGTGATGAAGAAGGAAGTGAGAAGGAGGAACTTGGGGCAGAGAAAAGAAAGGGTCTGTCAGCTCATGAGAAGCAGGTGTTTGGCCCTGCTCTCTGTCTCCAGAGGAAGGGCCTGCATTTGTCTCACCTTGAGGGGATCAAAACTTGGGATCCCCTAGGAAGTGGCAAGAGTTCATTTGCCTGTTGCAAGAGTGACAGCTTTGGGATGTTTTCCACTCATTGCTAGACCATAGCTGGACCGGACCTTGTCCATGGAGTAGCTCCTGGTCACAGGTGACAGGGCATCAGTGATGTTGTCCTGGCAGGGTTGGGGTGGGAGGGCAGTAAATGCATCTGGGGTCCTGAGACCAAGCCACTGGATGACAGCTCTGTCCAACCATCAAAGCTCTCTGGGAAGAGCCAGCTGGTGCTGGCCATTTTGGAAACTGCACATCCTGCTGCCTCCTGGGCCTCCTCTGTGTTCCTTAGACACTGCAAACAGACATAGGAATTTCAAGTTCATGGATAATTTCCCCTCCCTCCAACTGCTTTTCCTCCTGTATCTCGTCTGTGCAATTATTATTTATTTATTTTTTTTTGAGACGGAGTTTCACTCATGTTACCCAGGCTGGAGTGCAGTGGCGCGATCTTGGCTCACCGCAACCTCCGCCTCCTGGGTTCAGGCAATTCTCTTGCCTCAGCCTCCTGAGTAGCTGGGATTACAGGCACGCACCACCATGCCCAGCTAATGTTTTGTATTTTTAGTAGAGACGGGGTTTCACCATGTTGACCAGGATGGTCTCGATCTCTTGACCTCGTGATCCACCCGCCTCGGCCTCCCACAGTGCTGGGATTACAGGCTTGAGCCACCGCGCCCAGCTCGTCTGTGCAATTATTTAAGCTAGAATCTTGGGTGTTACCCCAGAACCCATCCTGTCCTTTGTTCCCTGATTCCTACAAGCTAAGCAGACATTGAGGCCAGTGGACATACCCTTTCAGGCTGAGAATGTCTCAACTCCCATAGTCAGCACTGTTGCCTGGGCCACTGTCATCTTCAGGTGACAGCCTCACTGGTCTCCCTGTGTGTCTTCCTTGGCCCACAGATCCATCTAGTGGCCCTGCAACACACACCTGAGCCCCTGATGGTGTCACTCCCCCTTGGGATCCTCCTTCTCTTGCCCCAGGCACCTTAGAACTCAGTGGCTTCCCGTAATTCCCTAAGCAGTTTCACCTTTTCCTTGCTTCACTCTCTGCATGTGGGGCTTCCTCTGCCTAAAATGCCTTGATTCTCACCTCTCCCCCTGGCTACTGCATGCACACCCTTGAAAACTTGGGGAGAGACCCTGCTTCCGGGAGAGCCATGTTGCCCTCCATTGTAGCACCTACACACTACTATCGTGGGCTATAACTGTCTTCAGGACTAGACTGTGAACTCCCTCAGGGCACATGTCATTGCATCACATCCACCTAACCAGAGGGCCCCCTAAAAGGCACCAACGTGAAGAGACTAAAGTGAGGAAGCTGCAGAGAGGGACAGGCCAGAATCCGAAAGGCTGAGGCCATCCCACGTCATAGTCATGTCTAGGTTCCCTGGAGTATGGCCTGACAAGGTCACTGGAGGGAGTGGGGTGGGCAGGCTCAGGTAGGAAAAGCAGGGAGTCTCCTTTCCTGGCATCATCCCAGGCTCCTCCCTCCTTTGACAGGGTCACTTGGATGCTCACTGGCCCCATGGGCCTTTTTTTTTCTTTTCTCTTTGAGACAGGATCTCCCTCTGTTGCCCAGACTGGAGTGCAGTTGCACAATCTCGGCTCACTACAATCTCTACCTCCTGGACTCACAGGATCCTCCCACCTCAGCCTCCCAAGTAGCTGGGACTACAGGTGTGTGTCACCATGCCTGGCTAATTTCTGAATTTTTTAGTAGAGGTGGGGTTTTGCCAGGTTGCCCAGACTGGTCTTGAACTCCCGGACTCAAGTGATCGGCCCAGCTTGGTCTCCCAAATGTCCCAAAGTGGACTTTTTTTTTTTTTTTTTTTTTTTTTTTTTTTT